ATTAGTCTTTAATTTTTGCCTCTTTTTAAGTTTCTTTATGTATTTATATATATATATATATATATATATATATATACCAACTCTGTTACTCGGCTCTGTGGGCTAATTTTTTTGTATTCTTATATGTTGCTAATTTATGCAGTTTTTGAGTTACAAATGATTGAATTATGTTCTTATCATCTGGTTAAGGTTTTTATGCCTTTAGTTAATCTGCATGCAATAGTTATAAAATTATTAACGATTTAAAAGTTGTTTAAGTGCAGCTAAGCCTAATTTTTTTTAAGCATAGCAGCCATGTTTGTTTACGTTTGAAATTTGGCAGAATAGTGAATTAAGTCAGTTTCTGTACCTTAAGTATCTTTTTGCCAAGTGGGGCCAAAAGTAAACTTTCAGTTTGTGCACCGAAAAATCTGCCCTCTTGCCCACTGGCTGAATTGCTTATTTTTGCGTAGAAACTCTAATTTGAATTATAAAATTGTTTTTTAATTGTTTTTACTGTATTTGGTGTTTTATATTTTTCAATTTTTAATAAAGATATTTTGAGGTTTTATCTATTTTTGCCTTGTCTTGAAGTGAGAGCTGAATTAATTAAATGAAAAATTTATCTGTAATGAAATTCAAGAAAATGAGTTTAAATGAAATACAGGAAAAAAGTCACATAATTTAACATTCCATTTGAGGAAGTCGTGGTGTACACATTGGATTTTTTATTTTAGGATTAAATAATACACATCAATGAATTTTCAGTAAGATTGAAGATCAGAATTTTTAAAAATTTATATTTATATTTTTGTAACATTCATAAGAGTACTTTATGGGATAAAAAATAACTTTGAATAATTTTGTTTCAAATAAATATTTTCAATGTAATCACTTGTTTTAAGTTGAATTTTTCTTCTGTTTCTTTGCTTTAAAATAATGTGTAGCCAGCTGAAGAGTAAGCTATGGAAATAGTTTGAGACTAAGCAAATGGAAATATATGTATTTATCTAAAAAAGATTTATATGTTACATTCCTTTAGCTTTAAAACAAAATCTGTAAACATTATTATTTTACTTATTATGTTAATTGTGTCAATGAGAGAGAATTTCTGTATTAATCTTTTACTATTTTTTAAACATTTTGTTTTATTTTGTTTTTACAAAATTATGTACCATAAATTATGTTTTCTATATTGATGTTGTTTTGATGTAATTGTTATGTATTTTTTGGGATACAGATGAAACCTGATGTGCAGATTTATTTTATGGATCCAGGTGAAATACTGAGGAAAAAATTGAAAGAAATTCTGCAGGTTGGTGTTGGTGGACTAATTTTGTGTTTGATTTAGTCATAGTTAAAAATTTATTCTTATTTTATTTTAAACTAATTAGCAGCTAAATATTTTACCCGTTCTACCACTAATAGTACACTTAATATCATATTATATTAAGTAACACTTATAATATTATATTAAGTATAAGTCATATACAACTTAATAAATTTTTGAAGGAATGTGTCGCCTTTATTTAAATCAGAGGTTCCCAACAGGATTAGTATTGACTCAATGAGGTCAATGAAATTTCATATGGAACTGGTGAATATCGAGGGGTCAATAGCTGAATATACACTGGCAATTAATGACATAATCAGTATCCTATTGATTATCCTCCCCAAAATAATTATTATTAATAAAATTGATATTTAATTGTTTATTGATATAAAGCTATATTAAGTAGTAATGAAGAAGTTATGTAAATTATATGTAAAGGGAAAACGTACTAAAATTATTTAATATATTTAAATATCATTAATATTTTTATTTTTTCAATTTTTGTTTGACTTGTTTATGTCGACGTATTATGAATTGAAAAGAATTCTGATAACATAATGCTACTGCATGGTGTTAAAAAGAATTGTATTTCCTTAGAAGATGTTTATTATATACAAGCCATACGCAAAACTGAAAAGGAGATTTTAATGCTCGCTTTCAAGACATTAATAATTTGAATGTGCCAGCATGACTTATTGAACCCCTGAACTGCGATATATCTGATGTTGATACTATGATGCAAGAACAGTTGATTGCACTGAAGGAGGATATTCAAGCACAAGTTTTATTCTAAATGTATGGGTATTTTAGTTTTGAAATTAAAATATCTTCCAACAGAAATATCCCGAAATAAATATCATTGCCAAACCAACATTACCGACCTTTCCGTCTAGTGGAAGCAGGTTTCAATTAACTTATTTACTATGGAAAACAAGAAGCAGACTGAATATTCTTAAATGATGTGATTTAAGAATTAAGCTAAGCAATTTTATGCCAAATATTAAAAAAAATGCGTCAATACATCAAGCACATTAAGTAAAATTGAACTTCTTTGCTATTAGAGTCTGCGATTTTGTTTCTGTTACCTTGTTTATGCAGTGGAGCACCATTTATATGTTTCTCATTCATATGTCTTTCATATGTATGCATCATTTCATTGTGATCGTTATTCAGTCTTATTTATTTTAATAGTAAAATATTTATTTCATATATCACATAACTTTGATTATATGTAGCTTTTGCTTGACTTATTGCATAGGTTTTACATTTTGCAGTCCTACCGGTCAAATACTTTCCTCGGAAATAGGGATAGAAGATGGGAGGAAAGGCATGAGACATCACATTTCAGTTTGGTACAGGAATTGAAAACCAGTTAATGAATGGAGAAAATATGAATTTAGAAATCAAACAACAAAAATCAGCGTTATATTTTCAAATTTTCACAGGACTAGTTTCGATGGTTTTACCGAACCATCATCCTCAGCTGCAAAAGCGCATGGCTTTTTTGGCCCAAAAAAGGTTGGGAACCTCTGGCCTGTTTGAACTAGCCTTTACTTCTAGAACATTTTCAAATCCTTAATGACACCCAGATTTAAATGTGGAAATATATGAAAACTGTCTTAAGCAGCCCTAGGGTTAGAGTCGTAGGGCCTTACAAGTGCTTATAACCTTATCTTTGAAATAAATATAAAAGCCTCAGATGTGTTACTTTTTCTCAAAGCCTTATTTTTTTTTTTTTTGTGCTATTTTTTTTTTGCTTTTTTTTTTTTTTAAACAAGTGCAAATTTTCCCCGTTACCAAGCCAAATAATAAACAATTTTCTTCCTATATGGACGTCAATCGTGAACATACTTGAGTAGCTTTTGCCCCTTTCTCTGCAGTAACTAGCCTGGTGCACGTGATAAGACAGGTGCACTTCATTGTATTGTTTAAGAATTGTTAAGCAGTAGAAAATTTAATACATTCCGTATGTTTTGCCCCACCCAATCTTACACACATTGAATTTTATCAAATTGACTTATTCATTCTGTTCCAAGGGTCAGTTAATTCGAGTTTATTATGATCGGTAGGCTTATTATGAGCATATCTAGAATATTTAAAAATATTTGCAGTAACTGTAGTATAGAAAACTTACAAAAAGTGTGTTTTAAACAGATAGTATTCTAAGGATATTCGAATGGTATAATAAACGTGAAAGTAATTGAATACAAATATTGCTTGGGGGCATGCTTATACGTACGAAATTGGGGGTTCTCCTCTTCTCTGCAAAATTCGAATTGAAACCTTTATAGTTCGCAACAAAGCAACAAAGACCTTTTTTTTGGCACTTCCACCTGATGAAGACTAAAGTTCTCGGTCTCCCAACCCAGCAAAAATGATTCTGTTCAGAATTTAATGCAGTCGTTCAAATAGAATAAAAAACCTCAGATGTATTAATTAATATAATTGGCAGGATACGCCGGAGCGTGATGTCTGCTCAATGATAAATATTCACCATACAAACAAAGGGGGTTTCCCTTTATTTAGTATTTCTCGAATACTGCGCGTTTGTATATCATATGTTAATATCATGAACGGAAGAATAAGGCATATATTGCAAAATACGTGGCGATATTCGCAAGATAAAAATTTTTACTGTACTGTAACAGATATTTTTCATCCATTGGGCTATTTTTTAATAGCATATGAAATGTCAAAGCTTATTTAGCTGAAAAATCGAAGACAGCTACAATCTTTCCTCTTTTACCAGTTCCTGGATATCAGAATTTTCAATTCGCAATTCTGAGTATCCAGTTGTTAAGCTTTTACTGTTAAAGGATAAATTGCATGAAGCATTTCGGAGTCGAAGGTTCTCTTTTTTTTTTTTACTAAAGTACTATCTGTTAGGAAAACAGTTCGATAATGAAATTAAAAATTTCGATTTTGATCTCAGTTCAATATTCAATATTAATATGAAAAAAAATGTATTTTTTTAGGTGCCACGTGAATAATCAGATGCTTATTATTTATTTTCTCTTTTTGACGAATTCCATCATTAATCTTTAATATAACTTAGTTCTGCAAGTTTCCCCTCTTCATTGTAAACTAGTTTGTAAATTGAACTCTTATTTAAAATTAAAAAAGAATTTATGTTTCCAGTAGTAATCTCGTTCTCCTTAATAAATGAATTTCTCTAGTTAAATTACAGTCTATTTCTTTAAGGTTATGCAATTTATGTAGACATTACGACTGAGCATAGCGTCTGCGCAGTGCAGAATAGTTTCGCGTGTGCGTTTAATGTAAACGACGGTATAAGCTAAAATATCAATTATTTTTCAGTTAATGTGCATTGCGTTGTCCTTATCTTGATGGATCCGGCTATATTTTGCGACTTAGAGAATTTTCGAAAGTAAGCTTGACTTTCGATTATGTCAATAGATTTCCGCTGCTGAGCTCCAAAGGATCTAGAAAAGAGTATTTTCGATGTCCATCAAAAAAAACGAATGCACAAAAATGGAAAAAGCATATCTTTGTTTATCTAACCGTTCGAAATTGTTATCAATTTCACGCTGCTCGCGCGGGGGGGGACGTGCGGCGCGCAATGAACTGGAGTTGTCTGTCAAACTACGTTATCTTCAGGCAGATGTTTTATTTTATTCGGCTTATATGCTACTAATGTCGTATTAATCGATGCCTCCGTCTTTATACGATTAAATTCATTCCTCGTCATTATAAATATCACGATCAAATCAATAGTTTTCTGGTTGCAATTTTCTCATTTCGGCTATGCGTAGGATGCTTTACGTCGCGCGTGAAAGAAATGTTTAATAAAGTACACAAATAAATATTAGCTTCTTTGGTAAATTTTGATACCTTTAGACCATATTGCTCATATTTTATAATCGGTTCATATTTTAATTTTATAATTTCGATCCTCTTACCGATTTAACGATGATCTTAGAATCCGGAAAAATCGATAATCCGGAATCGCCGAAGTCCCGACGAGTCCGGATTAAAGACTTTTGACTGTAATATAAAATAAGATATTGTGGTAATATATAATTACCATATTACTTCAGATTTAAGTTTCACTTTTTATTCATATTATTAATATGCAAAATTAGCATGGGACTTAAATTCAAAGCAAGTATTTTAAATGAGACGGGAATATGACCAAAGTTTTAGTGGATATTTCCATAAGCCAGTAGCTGAAATGGTCCCAGATCTGACAGCATAAAGCAGTGTCAAAGTCGGCAGAATTTTTCATCTGCTAACGGTGATTGCCAAAACAAATATAAAAAGAGGAAAGATAAGAAACCTTTAAACTAGGTAGAGGTACTGTGGTACATAGAGGATAGTCACTCTAAATAGAAGAAAAACCCTCTTAAATTCAGTTGAATGTGGTACTAATTAAAAATTAGACCCTTCCATTGATTCAAATTTTGTTAAAGGGCATGTTTTCAAATGCATTTTTGGTCATCGAGGGGCAAAAAAGGTTTTTGGTAGAAAACGTTTTTCCTAAAAAAATTTAGGAGTCACAGAGGCTGTTTGATGTGGCTGGAATGAAGGTGATAGTACTCCAGAGGAAACATTTGGAAGAAGAATACAGAAGAAGGTTTTAAAGAACCTTTTTATTTAGTCTGAACTGAACATAAAGGCTTATCTTGTGTGACAGATAAAACTACTTGTAATTCTTGAAATAAATAACAACAGACAGTTGCATCTAAACACATAACGTAGTCTAAGAGTGTAAGAGTGTAAAAATCAGCATCCGATTTTTTTTTTAGCCCAGAAGGGCTATTTGTCTTAAAACGGCATATTGCATCGAATCACTGTAAATGTCCAAATCACTTTTCAAATTATTGCCACCAAATAATATCACTGTGTATTGTATTTAGAGAAACTATGAAGAATCTACATGAATGTATGTATGTGTCATGCATTATAAGCAATGGTACCTAGAGTCATAAAATTTTGAGTAATATAGTCCTCCATCCGAATAT